ATTATACACTAAAACTTTGTTTGTGTTGTGCTGCGTACGGGCATCAAGCTAATAACCGCTCAATTTTAGTAGTTTATTATGTTACCCTTAAAAAGTAATTGAGTAATTTGAATTACAAACTAATGTAATTTCAATTACTTCGGACGTAAGTAATTGAATTACAGTAATTTCAAATACATGTAATTTCAATTAAAGTAATTCAATTACTATACTACCTATTCATTGAATTAGTAATTAAATTACAAAAGTAATTAATTACGCCTAATACCCCTTCCACACGACACAATTTGATTGCCAATCTGATTGCCGATTGAATTGGGTACAATCTGGTCGTCCGTCTACACATACACAACAAGATCGCCAATTTCAGTTTTATTTGTTGCCTCTGCTGAACGGACTTGTTTGTATTAGGATGCCTCTTACCAAGAAGCAAAAACTTGGATTAATCTTGGCTCTAACTACAAATGTAGATGAGAAAAAAAGAAAAAGATGACTGTGGACAAAACAATGGTTATTAAAAAGAAAGCAATTGAGGCACTTAAATGTAGTTATATTATATTTAAGTGACTCAATTAATAAAGTTTAATATAGTTATACTTAGAGTAATATTTTTAAAGAAAATATAACTAGAAAAAAATCCACGCGGACCAGGCAGCAGACGGGACTCGAACCCGCACCCTTCGAATAACCCTTAAAATATAACTGAGTTATATTTTCTTTAGATTTAAACATCAAGCAGTTACATGCTTTAAAAATAATAAAAAATATAACTATAATTGCTATTTCTTCTTTCAAATGTTATTAAACATTTGTAAAAGTGTTCATTTGACATTGTGGATTACCTATAATGCGAAGAGATGGCGCTGCCTTGCAACTTAAGAATGGCTGGAAGAATTTCGACGCGGTCCGTGAGGGCCGCGGTAGCATAATTGGTCAGTGTATTCGCCCGGATTGCGAAGGGTGCGGGTTCGAGTCCCGTCTGCTGCCTGGTCCGCGTGGAATTTTTTTCTAGTTATATTTTCATTTGATTTAAACATCAAGCAATTACATGCTTAAAAAATAAAAATTATAAAAAAATATATATAATATTATTTCTTTTTTACCCCAGCATGCGCGCATATCATTGAGTAGAATATAAATTTAATCAAATGATTTTTTATTTTCAATAACAAATAACTGCCTGGTCCGCGTGGATTTTTTTCTAGTTATAGTTTCTTTAGATTTAAACATCAAGCAGTTACATGCTTTAAAAATAATAAAAATTATAACAGTAATATTTTTATCAATATTTTTCCACTTATTCCGCAAAATCTCTAAGGAGTTATGCCTTGCTTGTTTATTTTTATATAATGGGTTAGGCACATCCCAAAGGCATGGAAAGTCTTTACATATATCTAAAATCTCCTCCATTACTTCCCGTTCAGATCGAATAGACATAATATTGTCGTCATGTTGCTCCATCTTCTTCTCAAAAGACAAGTCAACGCACACACCCGCTCTGAACGCCGCTTGCACAGAGACCACAGACTAGTTAGAGATATTAACAGAGACTACGTTAAAAAATTGGCCAGTTAGCGTCCACACCACCCAATTTGATTGGGCAATCCCAAATCGGGCGATACCGACCATCCAATGACCTTCAATTTCTTATTTCCGTCCACACAACACAATGAGGGCTATCGCGTATGAATCCGCCACTAGAGGCGCTAGTGTAGCGTGAGGTCTCCGAACTGTCAAATGTTATTGCTTGTGGGTTGACTACGCGGGTTTATTTCTAATTAAAATAATGTTGTGAATATTAGGTAATAACTCGGCATAATTATGGCAAATATGAGTTAGGATACGGCCAGAGTGCACTCAGATTCAGATTCCGAAAACAAGCGCGAGAAATAAACAGTGTAGTTAAAGCAGGGTGGCCATAGTGGCAGCAGGCAACCTGCTTAAACTACACTGTATATTTCTCGCGCTTGTTTTCTGAGTCTGAATCAGGAGTGCACTCTGGCCGTACCCTTCGACTACACTGTTTATTTCTCGCGCTTGTTTTCGGAATCTGAATCTGAGTGCACTCTGGCCGCACCCTAACGTGGCAACGAATGTCAGCTATTTAAAAGCGGAGCTAAGAAAAAATAGTATGTACTCCTTTTTTCCGAACAAAACGGAACTGCGCAATACTGTGGCATGGCCGATTATGTTTCGGATACGGTTCTTTTGTATTAAAATACGATTTAAATGTAAACTTTGATTTCACGTGCGTAATAATAAACTTTAAGTTTCAATTCTGGACCTCACTCGACAGTGGCGCCATCTGGTGAGACAGAAAACGGTAGCCCTCATTCGATTGTCAATCTAATCAAATTGGTGTCCGTGATGCTAGCGTACCCACGATCAATATACGGGTTTTCGTTATGCTATTAAATAGTGCGTAAATAGTGCCAAATTAGTGTAAAAATAATAAAAATAGTGCCTCTTTAATTTAAGAAATAAATACCAATTTTACTGTGTACGCTACCATGACGTCAAGCTAGCGTACCCATGGCCGACCCCAAGAACAGCATATATTTAAGCAACGAAATTGACACACAAAAATAGTTCGCAAATGTAGTGCCCTGGCTTTACAAAATTTCATAATCAATACTCTTAAAGGACCAAAGATATTGAACTAAACATTCTTAGCTGGCGTCAACCTGGCGTACCCATAATAGTTCTCATAGAAAATGAACTTTTCTCGTTCATCATCAGCCTATTAATGTCCCCACTGCTGGGGCACAGGCCTTCCCTATGGATGGAATAGGGAGATTGGGCCATGACCCACCACCCGGGCCCAGTGCGGATTGGCGGGTGCTAACGACTGCAGATGCAGCCGGGACCAACGGCTTAACGTGCCTTCCGAAGCACGGAGGAACTCGAGATAGATGTTTTGGTCACCCATCCAATGACCGACCACTGCGAAAGTTGCTTAACTTCAACCATCGCAGCCGAACGCGCTAACCACCTGCGCCATCGAGCTCCTCATTTCGCTTTTCTCGTTATCAATTCTATATGTATAAATAGTGTGTCAAATAGTGCCTCTAACAGTAAAAGTATTTTATGTGAATCCGCATCACAACAATACATAAAGAGGGTGTTAAATTCTAGGAACAAATGTATTGTAGTACATTTACACACAAAATTAATTTATGCACTAAGATGATTATCTATATATGTATTTTTACTAAAATAAATAGGTACTTTTTATAAAAAGATATTATATTTCAATTCGAATTCACCAATCATAAATTCATATAAGAATTTCAACCTACCTACCTACCTACTAAGTACCTTACTTACCTACTATACTACGAAAATATTACCACTTCTGTACATGACTGTACTTCGTATATAAAAATAATTTATTTGCTTTTTTATATTGTTTTACTGCGAATTAACATAAAATACTTTTACTGTTAGAGGCACTATTTGACACACTATTTATACATATAGAATTGATAACAAGAAAAGTTAATTTTCTATGAGAACTATTATGGGTACGCCAGGTTGACGCCAGCTAAGAATGTTTAGTTCAATATCTTTGGTCCTATAAGAGTATTGATTATGAAATTTTGTAAAGCCAGGGCACTATTTGCGAACTATTTTTGTGTGTCAATTTTGTTGCTTAAATATAAGCCGTTCTTGGGGTCGGCCATGGGTACGCTAGCTTGACGTCATGGTAGCGTACACAGTAAAAATGGTCTTTATTTCTTAAATTAAAGAGGCACTATTTTTTTTATTTTTACACTAATTTGGCACTATTTACGCAGTATTTAATGGCATAACGAAAAACCGTATATTGATCATGGGTACGCTAGCATCACGGACACATCAAATTGGACGTAAAATTGTATCGTGTGGGAGCCACTTAACACTGCTCCTAACTTTTCAAAAAAAAGAGGCCAAGTACTAGTTGGACTCGCGCACCGAGGGTTCCGTACAAATCTGTAGGTATATTTTAATAATTATTAGAGAATATTTTTTATTATATCATGTTACTAAAAATTTTAGTTTTCGCAATTTTTCCTTTATCTGTACTATGAGACGTTACTTCGTACACAATTTCAAGATTCTAAGTTCACGGGAAGTAAAACGGCTGTATCTTTTGATTGCTTTGGCTTACAAGTTTGATCTTTTCACAGCTCCAAGGGACAGTAGACCTGAGTATTAGATATGAATTTCAGTTTGATACCTCTACGCGTTCCTGAGAAAAACGGTTTTGACAGACGGACAGACAACAAAGTGTTCCGTTTTTTCCTTTGGAGGTACGGAACCCTAAAAATCCAAAATTTGGCATAGCTTTAACTCTATACTACTCGCCTATGATGGGATAGGGAGATTGGGACTCACAACACGGGCCTGGTGCGGATCGGTGGGGGCCAGACGGCTTACAGCGATTGTAAACGGCGTGTACAACGGCGCGGTTTTGCACCCTGCGCCCGTAAATAGAGGTGTTGAAAATTTTATATGCAACAGACGTCCACATCTTTAGACATAATCTTAGTAATCTGTAGTTCACGTGGTTATAAACAAGCAAGGTCACCTCTTTTTACAACGGGGTTTACCATCATGTGGCACAAGTTTAACTGTGCCACATGATGGTAAACCTGCTGGCGGTGCGCGTTGCATATTTTCGATATACGTGTTTACCTCATCCCCCGCTAAAAATGTCGGAAATGCAAGCAAACATATAATATAGGGAACTCTATAATATAAATTCACCTATAGATTGGATCTAGAAACCGTTTATAAACGAAGAAAGCAATTAATATAATATACCAAAAGAAAAGGTCAGTACCAGCTAATCTACCCCCACATTACTAAGCCACATCGCCTTATGGGGTACTAAGTTTATTTTAATGAAATTGACATGGCAATAGAAGGTGGTGGCACTGCTGCTGCCGAGGTGATATACACAATCGTGGTGCTGGGAAGCTGTAGGACTAATGCACACTAAATAAAACTACAATATTGAATGGTAGGTACCTTTAATTGGTTTTTCTATTACAGCATTTGAATCTTATAATATTAACTAATATTTTATCTATATATTTAAATGACAATAATTTACTGCTTGGGAACAGCATGGGAGTAGATAGTATGACCAACACCAAGCAGGCCAACAATGCAGAGAGCCATTGTCATACGGTATAAAATGCCATCAAGAGGACCTCCCTTCAGGAATACAGGAACATCATCCTCTTTCTGAAAGTATTCAATATAAAAGTTCTGAGTAATTCTTTCTTTATCTAAAACTAAAAAAACTAATCTATCTATCTAACTATGATATCTATCTAAGAACTTTTAGATTTTGATGTCCAAGACAACAATAGATAAGAAATTGGAACTTATGAAAAATATTTATGTCAAGGCTCATTATAAATCCATTCTCTGTAGAGATGAGCATGCATTAAAATCAAAGATATAATTATAGCTAAAATTAAAGAAACTATTCATACTGGGGATAAGTAATTATTATTTTAACTTATTTGGACCATACATACTGGGCCTGATTTTATGAGTATGTCATGTTTTATAATAGTTATTCATGCAACTGTTGTATAATGACGAGTATTAAAAGACAAATGTGGGTTTATCAAGGAAGGTGTGTGATAATAGTATCACATCAGTGTTTTAATACCTAATTATAACAGTTGCATACAAGACTTTATCTACACCCATTGTATAAATCCTCTATAAAAGATTCTGAAAGTATGGGCTGTTTTAAGATCTAAGCTGTGATAATGAAACTCGTGTGAAAGGCAATGTTCTTTTTTTGAAAATAATACCACACACCAAGCAGTGAAAATTGTTGTTTTGTATGTAAAATTGCTACTTTGCAGGCTTCTTTGTATATGGTTGTTGCTCAAAAATTTTACCGGGATGTATATTATTCCCACTCAACTCTGATGATTTCTATCATGATTCTGGATAAAACTGTACTTCAGGGCCCATGAGGTGATACTTTTTTTTGTGTAATAAAGCTCTTAAAAAAATTTTTTTTCTGGAGCTTCGCCGGCCGCTGCCTCGGCACGCTCGCTTCGCTCGCTCGGCCTGCACGTTATGGTCACAACACTAACCTAGTGTGAAATATCACCACTTGGGCCCAGGAAGTACCGTTTAGCCTGATTCTAATAATTTTAACATGTTTGACCACCACATAATATACTTGGAGGATCAGTCATAAAAAATGTACCTGAAACTTATCTTGCTGTTTGCGAATGGACTCTGAAACAGGTGGGTATGGGATGTTGGTGCCTGGAACAAGTTTCCTGGGGCCGGCGGCGCAAGCACTGCTTTCAGTCACAGTAGAAAGTTGTGCAGATGTGTACTTGATCTGTGGCGGTTCCACTCGTTGCAGAGCAATAGGTGCCTGACGAAAATTGCAAGTTTCTAATTAGAGGATAACATTATGGTATCGCGCGCGCAGTTAAGGGGCGGAAAACATCTAACGAAAACAAACAACAAACAAGCGGAGGCATTTTATGAAGATTTCTTCCTTTTTGTCACTGCAATGCGCATTTCATAGGTACTCAACAACCTAAAACCAAAGCTGCTGTGGTTACCACTTGAATTAACTACCTCAGCCAAATGGAAATTACCGTCTATAAATAAGCTGGCTAATACCATAAAGAAGAATACAGTGGTTAAAGTCCTATTATTACATTTTTGAAAATAGAAACTGTTCCATTATCTAGACACTGTAGTGGTTCACATTTCGTTCATCATAATTGTTTTCACACTTACCACTGGAAAGAGTGGCGACTGCAGATGAGTAGCAGATACCAATCTACCCGAAAATTTGCTGAGTTGATGGTACATTTTTTTAATTTGGTTCTGGAATTTCTAAAAATCGAACTATTACGAAACAACCACCAGATAGGTACTTTTTTTTATTGGCAACAGGGTTGCCAGTAGTCTTAAGTAGGGATATTCGATATGCATCGAAAACATCGATGTTTGCAATGAAAAACATCGAATCGATCCGATGTTTTGAAAAGCTTTCAATATACTCGATGCATCGATGTTTTAAAAAAACATCGAATTGGTAAACAGTTTGACCACGTAGTGGTAATATCCTCTTTGGTTTGTCCTCAGTAAATAAACTTAAGTTTGACCATTAAAATTTTACTTACCTATTACTATTATGAAACCATCATTAGGTCGTATACAGAAAGAAAGCCGATCAGCGCTTTGAAAGACTGACGTTTTGGGCGCGACCAAAAGTCATGACCGTTCGTTGAAATTTTGTTTTTGCTGCTTTGTGGGAGCACTTAACTAGGTGCAAGGTTGCTCCTCATATGTTATTCTGCCGCGCTCGGGTAAATCCAAAAATCCCCGCTTGGGCTCCCCTACTATAACGTTTATGCAGTTGAAGCTACGTATGTTTCTTCTAGATGTCAAACTGGAACTATACGTTCATGGTGGCAAAAGACCATAGTCATTAGTCATTAGTAATTTATTCCATAAAAACAATATTACATTGTGTCGGAAATTATGTTTAGTACCTACATAGAAATAAATACCAAAAACAAAACCCTTAGGGTGCGGCCAGAGTGCACTCAGATTCAGAGTCAGATTCAGATTCTGAAAACAAGCGCGAGAAATAAACAGTGTAGTCTAAGCAGGTTGCCTGCTTTTTCTCGCGCTTTGTTTTCTGAGTCTGAATCTGAATCTAAATCAGGAGTGCAATCTGGCCGTACCCTTCGACTACACTGTTTATTTCTCGCGCTTGTTTTCGAAATCTGAATCTGAATCTGAATCTGAGTGCACTCTGGCCGCACCCTTAGATAGCCTGAGATACTATTAAAAACCAATATCCAAATATTTATAGGGTGGCAATCAGACATTTATCAATCATTTCCACGTCTGTGCCTTCTGAAAGACTATTTTCAGGGGCAAATCGCCACCGACATGAGAAATCTTATGAGAAACAGATTGACTGGTTTTCATCTTTCGATGTTAATTTTTCTGTCATCCATAGATGAATCTCAATGGAAATGTTAGTGATGAAATAAACATTCTTATTTTAAAATTGTAATTCTTTTATTTGTAATTAATGTCAATGTATTATTTTGTATTTCGGCGGAAAATTTATTTTCTGACAAAGTCTGGAATTGTTCCTTCGATTAATCGATAATCGATATCATAAGTGCAATTAATCGTTTAATTGTAATCGACACTGTAGAAATAATCGATTATCAAATAATCGATTACTTTGCTATCTACCTACCCTGGTTAGAACGCAGCCCAACGGAGTTAGATCAGCTAGTGATGTACAGAGTCGCTTTTTTGGGGCTCGAGTCGACTCGAGTTGTTTTATACGGTATTCCAATTGTGACTCGAATCTGCGATTCGAGCCCAGTACTCAAGTTCTAGGTTTGGTAATCAAGAACTCAAGTCCTGGACTAGATTCTAGAAATTTGAGTCTAGAACACGAATCCGTTAACGATGTTAGAACTAAAAGGCAAAATTGAAATGAAGTAAAGTTCAAACAGCATTAGGTTGAACATAATAACATGACACATCAAACGTTTTTAGTGAAAATATTTAGAAACATCACAAAAAATATAGAACATGTAGGAACTAGTAATGAGATCAAGTTCTCCTTGTTTTATTACACAACAAAATAGATCTTTTTAAAAGCTATTTAACAACTTCAGATATTTGTCCCATTAGTTTTTAACAAAATTTGCTAGTAATAATTTTTAATATTACTTATTAAAACAGAATCAAATTATACAAACATCCAGGCGAATCAAATAAATTAAAAGAATATTTTTGAATCAAAACTAGGCTAGTTAACCCTTTTCGGAAAAATTAGACCGAAAAAATTGTTTTTTTATTTTTTTACACCTAGAAAGCTACAAACCTTTAATTTTAAAATAGACTTTTCATGGACATACAAAAACGCTGTCGGACATTTTAGTCTATAGATTTTCTATGCTATGTACGTCAACCTGTAGTAAACAAAAAGTCGTAAACACATAGAAAATAACTAATCTGAGTTTATAAAAAAAAACATGATTTCTAATAAATACCACGAAAAATAAAGTAATTACATATCATTATTGTATTGTACGAGAATATAAAAACACATCCTTGATGACTCCAGGAAATTTGTGGCTTAAAGTGCCGAAAGCAATTAACCTACGCAACTTTATAACACTTATTCATATGTTGTACCAGTTTTATGTTTTTATTCCTACATTGGTGTCAATTCTGGCATGATTCCCTAAACTTAAAACTAAATTTAAGGTCAGCCTCACCTTTTCATTCTGTACAGAGAAGGACAAGGATGCACTGTTGTCAAATTTAAGTTTAGCTTTAGAGAATCATGCCAGATTCGATGTAATACTAAATGCACTGTACTTACATAGATGCCTTGTCGTTTCTCTGCTCCGCAGAGCAGAAATCGGGGTTTAGTGCAAAAAATTCACCAACCATCAATGCGTCAATTCTTGGCAGATTTGTGCTTTCTGCTTTCACAAAGCCGGCATCCATAATTAGTTTTGTCAAAAAAAACAGTAAACGGAAACTTTTGTAAAGTTAAAAGTGTTTTAAGATAAATTTAGTCAGACGAATAATCCACCCACGTCCCACAGTAACACGCAAATGACATTTAGTTGTTTACTACAACAAGAGACGTCACAATCATGGCGGATGTGGCGAACAGCGTTTTTAGTGTTTAAAAAATACAGACGAAAAAATGTTTGCAAATTTAAATTCTACAGCAATCTTCTGCTTTTATGAAGTGAAATCGATATATTTAGGTTCCTTAGACCAAATACTTTAAGAAATAAACATTTATTTAATACAATTCGACATGAGTCAACTAGCCTATTTTAACAACCGAGTCAGCGAGTACTAAATCGATTCTTTCTGACCCGAGTACCGGAATTGAGACTGGCGTACTCGAATCAAAATATATAGGGTGTAATATATTCGAGTAAGCAAATCAAGCCGTACTCGGCTCGGCACATCGCTAAGATCAGCCATTAAAAGAATTGACAGATCTTTTCTGCACGTTTTACTTCAGGTAAGGTTGGAAAATGTATTATTTTCTTGCTAAAGTTATGTCAAGTATAAATTACCATTAAATAAATATCTACCCGGGTGTATAAATTTCATTTATAGCCACCTACATTTTTCCATAGAGGTTTCAAGTAAATTTGATGACATTCTAAATTTAAAAGGATATGTCCGCGTGGCCAGTCAACCTGATGGTTGTCTTTTGTTTTAGTCTTTTCAGCAGGCAACAACCATAAAAATTTAGTAAAACGAAAAATAATAAAAGTTTCTTCTCTTTTCAGTTTTACAATGCAGATATTCGTAAAAACCCTAACGGGGAAGACCATCACCCTAGAGGTGGAGGCTTCCGACACTATAGAAAATGTGAAAGCCAAGATTCAAGATAAAGAGGGTATTCCTCCTGATCAACAACGATTGATCTTTGCTGGTAAACAATTGGAAGACGGCCGCACACTTTCTGATTACAATATTCAGAAAGAATCTACTCTTCACTTGGTGTTAAGGCTCAGAGGAGGTAATTATTACATTTGTTTTACACTATCGATCCACCTAGGCCTCGCATGGATGAAGTTTATATTTATGTAACAAAACAGTATATGTTACTAGGGATAATGTTAGCTATGCCAATAGAAATCAGTCCAGTGAATTTATTCATAATAAATCTTTCCTTTTTTTATTATTAGTAAAGTTTATCTTTAAAATAAGATTTTAATTGAAGAGAATACTTTTATTGAAAATATATTTTTCTGTTTTAGGTACTATTGAACCTTCTCTGCGTATTTTGGCTATGAAGTACAACTGTGACAAGATGATCTGTCGCAAGTGCTATGCTCGTCTTCATCCACGTGCTACCAACTGCCGCAAGACCAAGTGTGGCCATACCAATAACCTCCGCCCCAAGAAGAAGATCAAGGATTAGAAATTTTATTTCAGGCTGTAAAATTTCCAATTTAATACCCAACATGTTAAATTTAAAAATGAGGAACTTTACCTATAATAAACTATGACCAAATTTTTTGTTTTAAATGGTTTATGTATAATTAAATAAGAAGAAACAGTTCATACATATTGTGGACATCCCTTTTTAACCCCTGGTGAGAAAAGGGGTGTGTTCTAAGTTTGACGTGCCCACTTTTTTCTTGGGTAACCATTGTCTGGTGACCATCTGGATTGTAGATCACTAATTTTGTTCCCCTGTTCCATATGTCCCCACTGACATACTCCGGCTAGTAGCAATTCTAGGTGTTTTTTTTTCCAATCACTATTGGTTGGGATATAAGGAACTTTCTATTCCATATATCTATGCTACACACATTACACACTACACTCATAGGGATACTTGGATATTTCCATTTATCACTACCAGTGCACTGATAGTGAGATGCGGCAGGTATATGTGTATGCGCTCGTTCAGTTTTCGTGTTCAGTTTTGTCATCAGTTGCAGTTCGGGTAGACGTATTCCTTTATTCTCATTTGTTCGATTCATTAGTTCGATCGTCGAACTAGTGAGATTTTTTTTTCTCATTAGTTTGATCGACGAACTAGTGAGATTTTTTTTCTCATTAGTTCGATATTCGATCTACTGAGATTTTACTGTTCTCATCTGTTCGACCGTCGTCGAACTTATTTTCTTTATTTATCCATTTTCATTACCAGAACCTCTTAGTTATGATGGTCTCCTGGTACTTTTTTCAAAATAGTGATTTATAAATGTTTTTTAATAATAAGCGCGGAAGGTCGTTTAAAGATTTTAATAGTTTTTTGGACTTTAAGCTAAGGATATACAATTGAAAATTAGAAGGTTACTTTATTCAGAGAAAAAGAATTTTTCATCACTTATGTTACTGTTCGGAACGCTTTTGAGGGTCAGGTCAGCATTCCAGATAGTATGTAAGTTCCTTAGGATAGACTGACCGAAGGTGTGAATCGCCACGAAGAAATAAAAAACAATAAAAGTTTTAATAATCTCTCTCTAATACGGGAGTATATGCCCTTGTCAATATTGCACTATTGAAATACGTACCAGTAAGAGGTTCTGGTAAGGCAAATGGATAAATAAAGAAAATAAGTTCAGTAGTTCGACGATCGAACTAATGAGAAAATAAAATCTCACTAGTTCGACGATCGAACTAATGAATCGAACAAATGAGAATAAAGGGACGTATTCAGTAGATGTAAGTATGTATCATAATCCATTCTTAAAAAAATATACCAGTCTTTTGGAAACATCTTTAATTCCGACAACAAATTGACATGAGAATGAACTCTTTTCATTAGCCATTCTTTGTACCAGATGCTACGATTTTTTTGCTTCACTTCATTTTCCTTCAGGGCGAATATTAATCCAACAACTGCTAAAACGTCGTCCGTCGAAGCCATCGCTGACACGTGCGTCGGCGCCGTTTATTGTACCGTCTGATCGTAACGATTTCTCGTAGCGTGTATGATGCCATGTACGATAAACTATAAATTCTTGGTATACAAAGTAAATGAAACATAAACAACTACTCATCAATTTGATCATCATTAAATATCATATTTTCTGATGCTGAGGTTTTTAATTCCTTGTAAAAACTGTGTTACATTACACATGGTTTAAAATTTAACAAGTCCAGTAAATCTTCTTTTGCTTATCACTGATGACATGTACTTGGATTATTAAGGTTGTCAATGATGATCGAATAGCGTTTCTTTAAGTCAACCTCTTGAAAAAGTACATCAACATTATTGGAATACTTGAAAAAATCTTTAATGGATGCATTTTATGAAATATCGCCATTGCATTCTCAGTCACTGTACTTTTCCTTTATTTACTGAAACTTTCCTGATAGTTTGACGACCTCCTTAGGCGAGTGGTTTGTACACCGGGTTTCATGGTGTCGCTGACTCGAGAGGTCCCGGGTTCGAATCCCGGTGGGGGCAGATGTTTGTGTGATGAATACGGGCATTTGTACTCTAGTCATGGATGTTAAATATGTATTTCTGTTTAAATAAACTTATATATGTACAGTCAGTATCTGTATTCTATCCGTTACCCTAGTATCCCATAACACAAGCCTTACAGTGCAGCTTTGGGGCTAGGCTAATTGGTGTGTGTGCGTGTTGGAAATATTTATTTATTTAGGTTTCTTTCCAGTAACTGATTAGAAAAAAAAAATAACTCTGGTCATAGAAATTATATTAAACTAGTGGCCCGCCCTCGCTTCGCTTCGGTGTAGAGCTGTAGTGTAGACTATAGTTTTTGTTCTCAGGCTTGTATTATACAAAATGACATTCTTCTAATACCTAATTTTAATAGGCACGCGCCGCCAGGCCCCCCGCCCGGTAGCGTCGGAATCGCTCATTTTTAAGGTGTAAAATACTGTAGTACGTTATTTTGATCTATCTCGAAGGGTTCAGCCAGCGTTTGCAACGTAAGCGCAAAAAAATGTGTTTATATACAACCTTACATTAAAAACCTCTAAAATTATCAGTGTTTCTCTACTATTTTATTTATGCATGTATTATACATATAAACATTCCTCTTGAATCACTCTATCTATTAAAAAAAAACGCATCAATATCCGCATAAAGATCTAAGCATACGTAGGGACATAGGGACAGACAGCGGGAAGCGACTTTGCTTTATACTATGTAGTAATTTAATAGGTACAGAAACTGAGCGCAGTTATTACATGGTTAAAAACATAAACCTGGTAAAAATTGACTGACGTTTCATGTCAAGTCACACGGGAACGCTGTCGAACGGGATAAAAAGTATCTTATGTCCGTCTCCTGGCTCTAAGCTACCTCCCTACCAACTTTCACCCAAATCTGTTCTGCCGTTCTTGAGTTATAAGTGGTGTAACTAACACGACTTTCTTTTATATATATAGATTGTTTGAATTCCCCGGCAGCTAAAATCACTTAAAATTTAAAAAAACCGCTTAATAGCGGCTTAGGCCACTTATGATTTCAAATCAATGCAAAAAGAACTTTTGCAACGCCATCTATTGACACCTGGTGAAACAAGAGATAGGCCGATTTTGATTATTTTAACACATTTTTATTAAAATATATAAGGTGAATCAGAATATGAGTAATTGAAGGTTAGACCACTTTTGCGCTGACAACCTCAGTTATTATCATTACAAACATCAGAGTAAAAATATGAAAAAATATTGTTTCTAGATTTTTAGGAAATAAAATTCAAAGTTATATCTGGTCCGGAAAAAAAATAAAAGTAAGTCTACTATTTAAAAGTTTAATTTTGATAGCATCAAATTTTATCTTAAAAAGTACTCTTTGTACGTCTTGAAGACAACACCTGAGTTATGATTCAAATCTCTATGTCCAATAACTTAAGCTGGGACGTCGAAAAGTCAGTCAATCACTACTACTATAATGTAACGTAGCAATTCATTGTTTTCTATTCATCGAAGGTAAAAGTGTCTATTGGTCTACAATGCGGTTTGAAAGAGTCCCAATCACGAAATTTGACAGATCCGTAATCGTATCGTCATCATCAAATTTTACACGGTAGGAGCCAGTTAACTCTTACGTCCGGTAGGGAACTTGCTCAAGCAAGTTCGTGCTTAAGCTATGGCTTTCTCTCTTCATATTTATATAGAATTTTACCAACTAATTTGGCAGATCTATCTGTTACTAACAATTTTTATTCTATTTCTTGTGTAATGCCTCGGCAATGCTTTTCATTCGTAAAACTGTAAAAACATGTTTTTCTCAAAAATCGCGGTTTGTCGTAAATGTTATTTACGTAAGCGCGAACAATACAGCTCTGCCGTACGGACTCTGAAGCGGACTCGCCGTTTTACTCGCGCTGCGTTGAAGCGTACAGTTGTCTCGCTCCTCGCTCGATTGAATGTTTATATACAGACGTGTGCGTGCTTGAGAGTTGCCTATGTATAGGGCTGCCATCCGTCCGGGTTTCCCCGGATTTGTCCTAGTTTACGGGGCGTCCGAGGAGCGTCCGGGCGGGGTTTCATTTGTAGTCCGGGTTACAAATTTCCTGTTTTGGGTCGCCAATTAATCCGTCAATTTAAATGTGTTTGAAAATAAATAAATCTATTCTAACACTGTAACCATAAATGCTGACTTCCAACAAAGATCAGCTTTGTCGCCCATACTGTCCGCAATAACAGCATTCGTTGCTATGTGGATGACAGCACTGAAACTTTTTACACTGGCCGGTCAAACATCCCTCGGATGGAAGAAGAAGGGTGTAAAGACAGACTTGTGTCCGAGATTGAGATGTTACTGGATCAAGTCTCAAATAAGAGCCAACAAAATTTGATTGGATTAACCCAGCAAAGACACAAGTAAGTGTTCAATAGATCTAGTAAGTACCTAGGCTGGAGCACCCCAATACCAGTTCCTTCCTCTTGACCGGATACAAAAGCGGGCAGTTTGACATATCGATGCTCCTAAGCTCACTCAAGCGTTGAAACCCCTTAGCAAGCGCAGACGGTACAACACGTAAAACGACGCAACTCCTTCTACGTGTCGTACCGTCTATACAATCACTGGAGAGTGTTCAGAGGAATTATTCAACCAGATGCCAGTGGCCAAGTTTCTTCACAGCACCACACACCGCAGAGAAGTTTCCCGCCCATGATCTGGACGCCTGGCGTTCGAGCACCATGTCTTCCTTTCTTTTGTGTAACAGCAAGTTCTAGAACGAACTTTCCTCAGTATTTTTTTCTTATAGCTTTGATATGGTAATCTTAAAAAGGCGGATGAACCTTTTATTTCAGTGCCGGCAACGCATGAATGGCCCTTGGTGCTGCAAGTGTCCATGGGCAGCAGTGACCACTTATTATGAGGTAGGCCGCTAGCTCTTTTGCCTACATCAACATAAAAAAAGTTGATTTGTGACATTTTTAACTGTTTTTTTATTGGTCTGTCTGGGTTCTGGGCTCCAAAATCCGGGGTTATCACGCCTCTGATCCTGGTTGCCACATTTTAGAGATGGCAGCCCTACCTATGTAGTTGAGTCGGATCATATTTTATTTGATGCCAGTATGACCGTACCGTATCTTCCCTTTTTGTTTTAAACTAAGTTTGGAACAGACTTATATATCAGGAAAGTCTTTACAGTGCTTCCTTTGGGGCTAGGCTACTATGGAATATGCATTTGGATTATATTGAATTACTTTTTTTCCACTGCATCTATATTGTCCTGAAATTGTATCCAAACCATTATTTTTTTATTTAGTTTGTTTTTAATTGCATGAAATAATAATTAAAAAATGCAAAATATGCGAGCGAAATTAGAATTCGAGTAAGTGTTAGAAATATTTATTTATATACCTATAATTTATATTATCCGATTATATTTGCCAAGTATTAATTCCCAGTACTTATCATATGAGACAGTTTCTGTTCTGTTGTTCTACTTCAAAATTATAAATTTGATTTCAATAAGCTAGTTAGTTTTAATATAAATAAGATAATAAAGGCATCCGTATTATATCTCTTACTTTTGCGCTTTATGGGTAACGGTCATCAGTCATGCTTTGCGTACGTCCATGGGTTATGTTATAGGTAGTTTCAAATTACATCCAAATATTGAAACGCATATCAACAATAATTGAAATCTTTATATATTTATATTAATTATAAATAATATTTACACCATTCCAAAGTGGACCACTTTGATTTTTGGAGGTTGCTTGGTGACACTCTCTGAAAAACAAAATTTCAGTAAAGTTAATTAACACAGCCTTATTTTTATTTACATACCTACATGCTTTGACAATAGTATTTTGTTGTTTTGTTCGTGCAGGGAAGTGGGTCAGGGCGCGGTGAAAGAAGAAAGAAACAAAGTATTACAAGCTACAGTTGATTTCAGGTAATTATTAATAATAAAAATAGCTTTGCATCCATCTATTCAAAATAAATAGATGGATGCAAAGGGAATCTGGCACAGACCATACGGATCCATTTGAGCTTAGATTAAAACGAAAAGTGAAGATACGGCACTCGCGGCTCAAAGTGATCTGCTTAAATTGTGGTGCATGACCATAATTCGCTTTAGTCACAATTGGAAATTCAAACACGCTGCATGTGCACTCAATATAATAATATTACGTATATTCTGTGTTATAAAGATAAAACAATGTCTTCGATACTTTTATAAAGAACTCAAATAGGTAGTTCAAATTCAAATAACAAATGCCTCAGCAACACTTTTCATTCGTAAAAGTGTAAAAACATTTTTTTCTCAAAAATCATGGTTTGTCGTGAATGTTTTGATCGTAATTGCCATTTTTTATCAAGAAAAGGACAACAATACAGCTCAGCCGTACGGACTCGGAAGCGGACTCGCCGTTTCGCTCGCGCTGTGTTGAAGCGTACAGTTTGTCTCGCTCGCTCGATTGCATGTTTATACAGACATGTGCGTGTGAGAGTTGCTTATGTAGTTGAGTCGGATCATGTTTTATTTGATGCTTGTATGAGTGCACCATATCTTCCTTTGAGCCATGTTTGTTTCGATGAAGTATGTTTTTTTTTTCAACTAATGTTTATGACTTTTGCTAAAAAACCCAAAATAGTACAATCAGAACGAACGAAATTAAAGTTTGCACAGAGCCTCAAATGCAAGATACTACTGCTGCAAAAATGCCTAACACGTCAAAAGACTAAGAAGCAGATTGCCTCATGAATGCCTCGACATTGTAATAGCCTAAATGTTATTTTGTCCACAAATCAAAATGCCTAAAATGCACACAAACACAAGTTTGTTTAGAAACTCTTGTTGTAAAGAGTTGTTGTAAATCGATACTAGCACTTAAAAATGATAAGATAGTCTATTCCGTCCTTATGCTCAGTTCTTAGTTTAAAAAAAATATTTGTATTTTTTAGGAGTATTAAGCATGGAAGGATGTTTTAGAAGTTTTAAATGTGTTTGCTTAGATTGCAAAAACATTGCTTTAATGAAATAAAATGATAAAAAAATATATTTATCATTGCAACAGGCCATTATTTGCAACTAATTGTTCCATTTTGGGTTTAAGAAAAAAGTAATAAACATTACTAAAAAAATCATACTTTGTCGATGACAAACATGGCTTAAATATTTCAAATGGTCTGTGCAAGCGTCCCTTCTTTACACCTATCACTCTTCTTACACCTTCTTTACACCTTCCAATCACCTACTAAAATATTTTCGTTTACCGGTAAGTCTATGGGCCACACGACAAAACACGTAACTATATGAATCATTACATTTTATTAACGTATCTGTGTGCGGCCATATAGGTTCTAATATTTTTCTTGGACGGTAAAATGGTCAAACCATTTTGAAGTTTCTACACACAATAAACGTTATTTGTAAACTTGCCGACCAGCAAGTTAAAGTGCCCTCAGGTGCTTTTTATTTTGGCTCTTAATATGGATTAGTATTTGCTACTTGTAAACTTGACAGCAGACTATTGTTTTCATTCCCTATAGAGCACGATTAGGAGATACTGTTGCCAAATACACAAATAGCAAATACGAATAGCCATGTGAAGTGCTAGCATTAGATATGAACATATTCGTGCAGTGCTTGTGTGTACGCGTTTGTTACACATTGAAATAGACGAAAGTGTGGTAGATTAGATACCTATAGGTTTAGATATCACATGAGTCATATGTAGTGATCGGATAAACGGACATATTTTTACCTAAAGTATTTTTTTGACTAACGAATTATGGAAGAGGCTTCTTTAGATATTTTTATTTAAAAAAATCTCAAGATTCCGGGTTCACATAACTAATCGGATGTATAATTAAAAACTCAAGTTGTTTTCTCCGTAAAATGTACCTACTGTGGATTTTATGCAGTCTTAAAGGCATTCAGAGGTCAATTTATAAAGAGAAGGAATGTAGATAGCTAATACAAATAATATTATTTTATAATGATGCATTAGAAATAAATTAAAATAATAAAATAGACATAACTCAAACTACCATGAGTTTGATAGAAGATATTCTCCACAAGAATAATGGTAGAATTTCCGCGGACTCGTGTATTTACATAGATATAGGTATATAGATAGGTGGTAAGCAATAACATAAATTCCATTCCCAAAAAACCGCTTCAAAACAATCAACCTACTAACTAATTAGCATGCAACAAATAAGTGCAATGAACAAACATAATTCGTGCTGTCATGCGTGCGTCACACTTCGACGTAGTCGAGCGTAGTACCGGCGGGCGGATGCGGTATCTGCGAATGCGGCAATTGCGGATGCGGTATCTGCGAATGCGACAACTGTGGATGTGGTATCTGCGAATGTGGCAACTGCGGATGCGGTTTCTGCGGATGCGGCGTCGGCAGTTGTGATTGTCGAGAATGTGGTGCGAACGCAGTCAGATATTTATGAGGCGGACAAAGAGGTAAACTGTCAGCCAATTCACGCGCGCTTTCTGGAGACACGGATGGCTCCTGAAAATTTTATAAGTAATCTTCAAGTGTTCGCCGTACATACCTGATTGAATGTACAATTGGAAATCTAATGATTTCAAAATTACTTATTAAATATACTCTAGGTATAAGTAAGCACTTTGTGCAAACATAATCAATATGACGATGGCGTAAAGTAAATGAAATTCTATATATTCTGTAAGTTCGATTATCAAAAACACAAAGAATATACTACAAAGATAAAGCGCATCACAGTTTGGATGCGACGTAACGATATTAAATACCCTTGATACTTGATAAAGGTGACTTTCAATGTTTGAATAATGCCTTATATTGTTTTCATAAACAACTACGCGATCTACCTTTTGAACAAGTTTCGGGCACGACTTTGTTCGTGATGGTGGATCTAGGGTATTTAATATCGTTGGCTTTAGTGAATAAGTAGTAAAAATAAAATCATCTAGGACTTACTGCAACAACAGTTATAGTGACAGTGTCAGAAAATTTTACTTTGTTCCTTTCAGTAGTTAGGCTTCTGTCTGCGATACCATCGTACTTAGAATTCCTGTCCACCATAGAACTCGGATGATAATTATTGTTGTGAAAACGGTAGACGTTGTTAGGCGGATCGTCTCTCAGCTCTGTGTGGTACAGATTTCTGAACATCCTATCCTGCGATCTCGGTTTGATGTCAGTGGTCGTCGAAGCTGGTTTGTTGGTGGTTTCGCTGATCACTGCCAGAGCAGGCATGGAAGCGCCGAGTCTTTGGTTCAGAGATATGTACTCGGTACCGCGTTTTCCGTTCTGGCTTAAAACCGGTTTGATCCTGTCGCTGTTGGTGATTTTGAGATATGTATCGTTTACGTTCGTCGTCCATATAGTGTTGTCTCGCTCTAGATACTGGTGCAAGTTGGGACGGATGCTGTGCGTTGAGGTAGACTCGGTTTGGGATATGGGCACGGGCATGAGCGTAGGAAGAGATACTCTGGGTAAAGGCGGCGGTCTAGTTTTCACTTCGGGTGCGCTAGCATCGTCCGAATATGAATGCGAACTGCATTGCGAACAAGTGTCGGAGCAATACGAATCTGGAAAAGAAAGTTTACATGTCTTAAAGAAACACATTCAAATAATCATGTTATTATTCCACCTGGAATCCAACTTTACTCAACATCAGGTGGTGTAGTCAGACCTAGAGCTACAAATTAATATAACCAAAAACAGTTGCGGCTTGTAACCGAGCCGCCCTTCTTGCGTTTTTGAGCTAACGGAAGGCGACTAATAAAGGATGGAGGGTCTCACAGACAGAGGCGAGCGGCCAGCCTGTATTGGTCGCTTGGAGCCATAGAGGTTTAAGAATAGAGTGGGGAAGGTGGGTCTAAAAGTATACGTCTAGTAGAAAGAGAAAGAAGATGCGAGACCGCTAGCTATCTCGCTCTCTTGTGACGAATGCGCAGTCTTCTGTCCAATAGTTGGTCCAAGCATCACATCGATAAGATGCTTACGGTTGTAAATGCGCATGCGCGATTAGAGAGAGAAAGCTAGCGGTCTCCTATCTTCTTTCTTTTTCTATTAGAGGGACACTACCACTTGTAGTAAAGTCTATATCTCCCCTACTCTATTCTTATACCTCTATGGTTCGAAAACTCGCTTACATTGCAAGCGTACACAACTATGGCGGCTACTATCGCGGTCATCACCTGCCGCAGTATACACATTACCTGGTGTCTCGGTCGCGTATTGTGCCACTAGCGCGGTCATCTCCTGCCGCAGTATACACAGTACCTGGTGTCTCGGGCGCGTATTGTGCCACTAGCGCAGTCATCTCCAGCCGCAGAATACACAGTACCTGGTGTCTCGGGCGCGTATTGTGTCACTAGCGCAGTCTTCTCCTGCCACAGTATACACAGTACCTGGTGTCTCGGACGCGTATTGTGCCACTAGCGCGGTGATCACCTGCCGCAGTATACACAGTACCTGGAGTCTCGGGCGCGTATTGTGCCACTAGCGCGGAAGCCTCGTCGGCTAGCTCGGGAAGGCCGCGACGCGAGGCGGCCCAACGCGCGTCAACGAATAAGTCCCACGCGCGTAAATCCACCGCCAGGCTTAATGCTTTCTCTATGCGACCGCGCCTGCGCAAAACACAAGGTGAAACACTACTTGAGAGCCTGCGCTGCAGTCAGCAGTACCCTTAGTACGAGTTTTACAATTACGAAAATTATGATAGTTTTCGTGAGTACGGAGCGGGCGTCGGCGCCGCGTGCAGATTTATGTCCTTTTTCATAGAAAAGCGCTGCGCGGCAAACCCGTCTAATGCTTAACTGTTTAAATTAAACCGTTGGCTCCCTGCCTCGCAAATGGATCACCCCCTTAAAGGATATTCAATTGAGAACTTTACTACGACAGAGATGAATTCTATCTTATTTTAAAGCTCTAGATATCTTGAGCGCATTTTTGTGACCCACGGGAATGTTGAGATATAACGAGATCAACATACAATAATTGAATTTTGAAAACAAACAAACCACAGTAAAACTTATCTCGAGGTCCGCCATTCCGCATTGGACCATGGTGGGAAGGCCTGTGCCACAGCAGTGGCGACATTAATAGGTGATAGGACTTCTTAATAATCGCCTATCCTAAAAAATAAAAAACGAGCGAGCCTTACAGTAGTTGCGTATGATGTGTAACATTTGAAACCTCACCTTACATTAGTAAAAAAAGTAATAAAACCTACTACAAAACAATAAGCCATTTGAACATTATGTTCTAAAATCAAATCAAATAGCGCTCGCTTTCGTGACTTCCTGTTACACACTTCCGTCCCACTTCACGTTATCACTCCCACAAATTGTACGAAAGCGAGAGGAAAGATGTTACACATCAATAAAAACACAAGTCTTCTTAGGCCAGGCGCTGGGCAAGAACTAAGCGACGGCTAAGCAGACTGTTAACACGCACTGTCAGTTCTTTGACTTCCGCATAAAAATACACTATTTTGGGGAGCGCCGGGCAGTACGAGTATCAATGGCATGATTTTATTTGGCAGTGGCACGAGAAGTGGTGACACTCGTCTTTCCCCCTTTCCTACCCACCTCCCTGCTTACTTTGGCTGAATGTAAATGTAGTAATACAGTGGTGTCGATTCTGGTATGATTTTCTAAACTTTAAACTAAATTTTATATCAAGTCTCTCTGATTAAACGACAGGCCAAAAAAAGAGTGTAATGTATTCAGGGTTCATGTATGTATGTACGTACAATTCTTTATTCCACCATAACTTTTAAACGCCTGAACCGATTTAGATGTGTATGGTATCGTTAGAATTCTTTCACCATCTCGAATCAGCAATGTCAAAAATGCCAATTATTTGTTAATAAATAAAAAGTCTTCTAATTATACAATATAGGTATCATTTGAAAAGTCTTCATGAAACCCATCAAATATATACAAACATAGTATCGATAAACGGGTTTACCTATAAAACGAGATAAATACTTGTTTTTTTTTACCTTTTAGTTACTTTTTTTAACGGCAGTCGTTTTTTTTTGTAAATGAACTTGTTCATTCTGTTAAGAGAATAACAAGGATACACTGTTGTTAAAATTAATTTAAGGTTAAGAGAATCACGCCAGAACCGACACCAGTGTTTATTTTGGGGCTGGCAATTTACAAATCATACGAGCCAAAAAAAAGTCTATGGATCAATTTAAATGCTCGTTCGATTAATTCGCGCCAAAAACTTCATACAAAATACCTCGCGTCACAATACTGCCAATTAGTGACGTGAATTTTCCTAAACACCCTCAAAACTTCAAAATTCATTATGGTTTAATTAGTCTAGGCTATTACAAGCATTTGTGAATGTCGAAAAGCTACGCCATCGGTTCGCAAATCTACGGCGGGAGACCTTGTACTGAGAAGAACCGGCAAGAAACTCAGCAAGGGCTGATTTTTGTCCTGTTTTATTATTAACAGAGTCGTCAAATTGAAAATGACTTCAGAGATGATGATTCATGAAGTCACCTTTCATTACATAATGATCAAATATACATTAATTGTTTACCTGCCTTTGGATTGCTTTGTCATACAGTAGAAATACAAATAGTATTATTTATATTAAGTGTAAGTTAGGGCAGCCTATATAGAGACGCATGAACCATGAACCATCCATCTTATTATATACAGAGTCGTCAAATTGAAAAATGACTTCAATATGAGATAACTCATGAAGTCAGTTTCCATTCCTAATTGGTGTAAGTGTTAGTAATATTTATTTATACCTCAGCAGGTGGTGGTAGAACTTCCTGGTGAGGTCGTGTATGGGCGGAGCATATTTGGCAGCGGCGACCGGTAAAGGCACTCGTGGGGCCCAGTATGAACCCAGCGCCATTTGAGCGCAACTCTCCTCACGTAACGCGCCTGTATTAGAAAGAAATAAAGAATAACATTTTATTAGCCCTTACAGCATGAAATTTGTGAAACAGAACGGTACATGAAATATAACATATACAATAAAAAAAAAACGAGCGAGCCTTACAGCAGTATGAGTATGATGTGTAACATTTGAAACCTCACCTTATATTAGTAAAAAAGGAAATAAAACCTACTACAAAAGGAATAAGCCATTTGAACATTATGTTCTAAAATCAAATCAAATAGCGCGCGCTATCACGACTTCCTGTTACACACTTCTGTCCCATTTGGCGAAATCACTCCCACAAATTGCAGGAAAGCGAGAGGAAAGATGTTACACATAGAAAATGGGAACTAAATACTAGGTAGTGCGTGCCGTGCGAGGCCAACAGGTCGCTGGCTCAGCTATGCTCTGTGGCAGTAGTGTATCAGCGCTACTGTGATCGCTTTCGCGATATTCAGCCAGCGTATTAAACAATAACATTAGATGAAGCTCTGTACCATTGCAGTGGGGATGGAATAAGCTGATGAAGAAATGCCTATACAATTAAATGGTCTCATCATCGATTTTCCATCAGGCGAGATTGTGGTCAAACGCCTTGTCTATTAAGCATAAAATAAAAAAAAGAGGTTATTGGGAAAACAACACCAATTTGTCATGGACACGGACACACGCTGCCCACACAGGAGGGGCTGGCAACACCGACCGGAGGCGGAAGCGAAACATTCTAGACTCTCGCCATCTTGTAAAAAAAGCGATCTGTATCACATCTGTATCTCTTAATTAATTTAACAGAAAACCAGTGTATGGAAAATATCTTTTTATTTATTTTGGCAAAAATCGGTGTATAAGTTTTATAACAACAACAATACATAAATAAAAAATGATAGAAATGAATATAATTCATCATGTCCGCCGTACGACGCCCACTGCTAATAGGCTTCCCCCAAGGATCTCCACTGGTCCACAAGTTCAATGTCGCTCAGCGCGCTATGAAAAGGGCTATGCTCGGCGTTTCTCTGAAGGATCGCATCAGAAATGAGGTAATCCAACAGAGAACCAGAGTTATCGACATAGCCCATCGGATCACACACACACACAAATATTTATTTATTTAATATAACTCACCAGCACCGCTGCGTAGTGCAAAACAAACGAGCTTGTTAACAGTCCAGAGGCATTCCACTCCGTTTTCATCCCAGTCAAGGGCGTGCAGTAACGATACAGCGTTGGAAGAACGACCGGTGCGTAGCCAAGCCTGTCGAGAACGAAATTATCAAAGGTAAAGATAATGAAGAAAAAGGTAAGATATAAACATATGTTCCTTAGTCACCACAATAGGGTATTCAACAAGTTATTGAAAACGATTTTAAGTTGTTTATTAATTGAGGAACTGGCGAACAAAACGGTATAATAACGCATCTGGTCAAACTACTTCTTTTTACAGTCCTGAGGTTTCAGGCCTGTTGAATTTGAATCTCAAATAATTTTCAATCAAAACCGCCTAAAGCAGTGTTAAAATAACTTAATTCATAAATTAAAAACCATGCCTAAAGCTTACTGTAGGTATGTCATTCAGTTTTATACAGCTCCCGTAAAATTTAATTTTATGTTATTATACCATTTTGTTCGCCAGCTCCTCAATAATTAATGTATGTATTCACACACTCCAATAATTAAAGAAAACACTTTTTAACTGGTAAAACAGCTCGTACATATTAATTTTCATTAACATTTCGGGATCTGTAAATGGGCCCAGTAAACGTCGTTTTTAAAATGTGTGGGTAACTTTTGACCAGCTTCCTCCTTTTTGTTCCTTCTACTCTACACGCCCTAACTATACAAGGCTTATCTTCACAAACTCTACACACCTCAGTCAAAGTATGTAGCTTGCCCATTTCGATACATTCACATGGGCGAAAGGTGAAAATTGATTCAACTATTCATTACTTTTCTGTCATAAAATAGTTCTTTAGTAACAATATGGCTAAGCCATATATTTTAACTAAGGTGTCAATTTTGTGAAGTTAGTCCTTGTAGAGTTAGTGCGTGTAAAGTTTAAAGCTTGGCTTTACTTGAGATCAGTACCCTAGCACGAACCAATATCGGATTCGTATCGTTTGCGAGTCCGAAATGTCATTGTAAAATGTGTGCTGATTTTTAGTTCTCGTTACGTATTTGTGCCGCTGCTGTTCAAGTTTCCATACAAAATTTGACATTGACATTTCGGTTTGCAAACTATTCGAATTCGATAATAGTTCGCGCTAGGGGTATTGATACCATTCTGACAGTCCAAGTCATTATGGGCTCGTCTTGGCAACATTTTACATGAAAATGTTTTTGGTGGGATATGTTTTTGTAAGTTGCTTGTGACTTTTATTTCTTTTTAATAATCTGTACCCTTAGTACGAGTTTTGATAGTTTTCGAAAACTATGATCGTCTCGTTTTGTTCCCATACATTTCACACCAGCGCCTCTGGCGGAAACTGTAATGAACTTTAATCGGCAGTATGAGTTAATTTCGTTAATAGTTTTCGATCTCGATTGAAGTTTTCGAGTAGTTTTCTGCTATTTGGCAGTATGAGTTGTCATCTTTGACGTTTCATCGAAAGTATTCGTAAACGAATTCGATAACTATCATAGTTTTGGAGTCACTAAAATTTTTGCAAGTGAGACTAATTTAAGAGATTCAATTTTTCACTCTGTTAAACAAAATTATGAGTGCGAGGTGGTATTTTGCGTGGAGAATGACCGAGGATGATGCGGTAAATGAAGAGCGCCGGGAGAGATTAGAGCAGCGATCTCTTTATTGTCTATCTCCAAGTCGTATCACAAACACTCATTTTGTGCAACGCTATCGTATAACCAAAGATGCATTTTATTTCCTCTGTGATACTCTGAGGACTCACACCGACCTCCGAAGCTCACAGAGAATCAACCTGGAGACTAAGGTACCTATGCTCCAATACTACAAATAATAAAACAAAGCTTAAAGTAACTATGCACACTTACTTTACTTTAAACTTGATATTTAATAAAAATATATTTTCTTTTTAGGTACTGTGTGCACTACTTTTTTTGCCAATGGTGATTACCAACGAGTTGTTGGAATTGCAAATCATTTCTCTCAAGAGGCAATTAGCAAATACATAGCACAAGTCACGAAGGCATTATATCATCCTAACATATTACAGACTTTTATTAAGTTTCCCAATACAAGGGAAGCCAGGGATCTTGTAAAACAAAGGTATGTTGAAATCCACATATTACTTAAATTGTATTAAATTATACTAACCTAATGTAAAAAATTATGTTTTATTACAGATTTTATAACTCATATGGTATTCCTGGGGTGGTAGGATGTATAGATGGCTGCCACTTCCGAATATTCAAACCGAGGAAAGAGGAGGAACATCTCTTTTACTGCAGAAAACATTACCATTCATTAAATGTTCTAATGGTAAAGCACTGTTTTAATGTGAATAAATTTTATTTTAACATATGATGTAGTACTCAAAGTAGACACATTTAATTAAAATGTTATTCTCAAGTAAATACAATAAAAAAAAGAGTAATATTTATGGAATCATGATCAATCTCACAGTCTGTTTCTTTTATTTTAGGTGTGTGATGATAATTGCAGGATTATGTATATAAATCCCAAATTTGGAGGTGCAAGCCATGATGCTTTTGTGTGGGAGAACAGCCATATAAACAATTATTTGCAAACATTGCATCAAAGTGGTGAATCTGTGTGGCTTTTAGGTTTGTAAACATTGATATTGAATTATATTCCTACAATTTATTAAATGAATGATTTTTATACTTATTGTCTTCCTTTTCTATATCCTACAGGAGACTCTGGATATCCACAAAGGCCATGGTTAATGACACCCTATTCTAACCCAGCTGCTGGCTCTGCAGCAGAGACATACAATAATGTACACAGTAAAGCTCGGGTTGTAATAGAAAATACTTTTGGGCGATTAAAAAATAGATGGAGGTGTGTCTGCAAAGATAGGGTTTTGCATTACAAACCAGAGAAATGTGCCCAAATAATAATTGCTTGTAGTGTGCTACACAATTTGGCACTGGATTTCACTGTGCCATTGCCCTCTAATGAGATGTTTGGTATGTACAATATTAATTTAATCAATAATGATATTAAGTAACTTCTTGTTATCCTGTTCCTAGTTATTTTTATCTTTATTATGTTACAGGTAATTAGCAATTCTACCGTACCGAAATTCCCGAGGAAGAAGACCAGTCTTTATTATCTCTGGGGCGAATAATTCGCGATCGATTGGCCAGCAGACTATAGAGCAACATAATTTTAATAAATTATTTTTAAAGTAAAACACCAATAATTTTATTTATTATTTATTAAAATTTTCTATTACATTGATAAATTTTGCAAACAGAGTTTGCCACTGAGCCTGTTAGTCAAGTTCTCTTTCTCGCAAACGTACATGCTCAGCAGCAAACTCTGCTGCAAATTTCTGCCAGCGTTCTTCGCTGGCCAAAAAGTTTGTCGCAGCATCAGCCGGACGAGAGCGACGCGGCGGCAATGTACGCCGCTGGCGACCAGCGCGTCGAGTGCTGGAACTGGCGCCACGGTGACTAGGACTCCCCACCTGACTTGCATGATGAGGAGTGGGTGAGGTTGCACCTCCTACCACGTCCTCAACAGTGAAGGGGCTGCTTCTGTCTGGCACTGAAAACAAATAATTGATTTAGTTTTATTGATCAATATAGCAACCTGCTCCCAAATGATGAGTAATTTTATATAAACACTCACCGTTCTCAACTTGGATGCTGACTTGCCGGGATGTGGAGGGCTGTGGTTGTGGTGATGGTGGTGGAGTTGATGCTCTTGCATCATGTTGCTGGTCTTCAGCTAAAGTTGGCTGGAACAATAACAAAAACAAATTTAAAGGGAAAAATGTGCTTTAACTAAAAAAAAATATTAAAATAAGACATTGAAAAAGTGCAAAGTATTACCTCCAAACCAACTTCAGCAATATATGGCAGACCTGGGTTCCTATCAATTCCAGTACTCGCTGCTCCAAGTCTGTCAAGACCAGTTTACACGCCGGTCCACCACCAGTACCACTGGCAGCTCGGCTGACTTTGGCTGCCTTGCGTTTTGTGTTGTTTTTAGAGTCACTCCACACCTGGACATGCAAAAACAATAATAAAATACTTATACTGCATACATCTAGCATATTTTTTAAAGATCTTTTAAATCTCTTACAAACTTTTTCATTGTAAAACTATACCTTTTTCCATTTTTCGACTGGCTTAGACGAACCAGTCGTGTCCAAGTTGAGGACATTAGACAGCTCCGTCCACTTAATTGCCGCCGCAAGTCTGCCATTGGGGCCATCAACAGGTTTGTTTAAGTCACCATTCCTAAAATAAGACAGAAAAATTAAAACATTTCTTATATCAACTAACTTTACAAATTAGTTTTAGAATTTGATGCAAGTACCACATACCTTTCCATGAAATCAACCATTATTTCAAATTGATTGTTGCTTGTGCGGCTCATCTCGAAGTAATTTTAAAAAACTATTTGTTTTTAATGAAGGTTACAAGGTTGTTAATTACAACGTTTAAAACTCTAGAAATTTTAATAAGTACTTTTAATGCCGGCACTTCACTTTGTTGTTATATTTACTATTTGTCTTTATCATGCTTTATAAGAAATGAAAAGGACAGACTGATGTCAAGTTTACAGATAGCAAACACGAAAAGCCAAGTGATGTGCCGGCATGGCACCAATAACAAAAAGTGAAAAACGAATATTAATACGTCAAACTGACATCCATGTTAGACAGAAGTCTGTCCTTTTTTCTCTCTAAGCGTGCAAGAGAGATGAAAATATGCACCGTGAAGTTCGTACTATCGAGTTAACGATGGACGATATCGTTTAAACGATGCTCGAAAAAATTAACTTGTACTACCATCGATGTCGTAAACTGACAGTTTGTGCGAGCTCACGAAAACTATCATAGTTTTCGTAATTGTAAAACTCGTACTAAGGGTACTGGAGTCCCTTTATAAATTTTGAGATTTCTAGCTCAATTTTCTGACCTCTAGCGTCAAAATTGCGGAATTCTCACACAAACTTCCATTCTCTAGTTTAAGGGGTTGAGGATATAAGTTATTAATTTGTATTTTTTGTTGTTGTTTGTGTACTAATTATAGCTTAAATACCAAATTTCAATTCTCTAGGACATTAGGAAATACCCTAAGATTTTGATAATCATCAGTGAGTCAGTGAAGAAAAAGTTTAAGGCTATGCAATTACAATTAGTATATCTTAGCTATTGACAAAATACCCCGAGAATTTTGTTTATCTGTTATAATCCAAACTCAATTAAAAGGTTAAAAAAAAAACAAGGCGCGCGCGAGATTAGGTAGATATTGCTCTTGCGCTTCGCTTGGCTGGTATTGTCGTCTTGATGAGGGCACTACCGTGCCCCCACATTTATTTGCTAATTTTTCTATTTCATTATCATAAGTTTTTGTAACTCTTTATGAGAAAAATAAAGAATTATTAATATTTTTATGTTTATGTACATTTTCTCTAACTTATAAGGTAGACGCCATAGTATGCGGATCCAAGACCAAGCAATACTATGTGTATAAATTTATTCTTCCTTGTTAGACATTTTGCGGACAGTTCTAAAAGTATTAAATATGACTGCTTTTTGTAGTTGTAGGTATGAAAGTGGATGCATAATATTAATAAGTTTAAGACTTGTGTGTAAGGATTTAGGTATAACTCCTGTGTTCGATAGAATTATCGGTATTATCTTAACTGAGTTTACTTTCCACTGTTTTTAATTGTATAGTCAAACCAGTGTATTTCGAATTTTCTAAGTGTAGGTGTTATTAAGTATTATTTACAGTAATCGAAATTTGATTGTCACATACAGTATAAAATTAAATTTTAGATCAGACATTTGGTGTAACCCATAGTCTTGTGTAAAAATATTCAGGTATTATAACAATTTTATCGTAATGCGGGTATAGTAGGTATTCACTTACAGTAAGCAGTCGGGGATGGGTGATATGTAACAGAGTAACAGGTCCGCCTGTGAACGACAACAGTATCATTGGGCCCGCCCTTGCTTCTCTCACTGCCAATATCTGCATACGTTTGGGGTCCCTGAAAATATTTTGTAAAACAAGCTTTTAAAAAATAAACTAAAGAAAATTTTAAAAGAAAAATATCCAATGACTAATGACGAATATCAGACATGATTCAAACATGCGCCTTTCGTTATCCAAACTGAACAAGTTTTTATTTACTAATAAACAAGATAACTGTACCCTTAGAATTCGTAACGTTTGCGAGTCCGAAATGTTATTGTCAAATGTTTACTGATATTTAGTTCTCGTTACGTACTTTGTGGCGCTGTGGCAAAGTTTCATATTTCACAAACTGATTCCTAAATTGAAAAATAGCCTCAGCAACCCCTAAGTAGAACTTTGAATTACACCACTTAACTAATCACGCATTATCATGCAAAACAACCGTGTCGGCTAAGGGTCATCTCAATCGGAAGATTTAAATACAGTTGCAAGATTTTAATTAGGTTCCGTTTATCAAACTTTCATAACGGATTCCTAATTAACCATTTAGTAACTTACTGGTGAATTTCTGAATTAAATAAAAAAAGGGAATCTGCGTATATAGAAACGTTATTACCTAGACGCAATTTGTCATTGACTAAGAGATAATAGCACCAACGCTTTAGAAAACATCATTATTGCTGTATTCTAAAGTGTTCTAATGAGCAAAAAACAGGACCGCCAACAGATGACACTCAAACGTCCTTGGACGTTTAGTGGAAAATTTATGACATTCAAGTGTCATGGGACGTGTGGGAGGACTATTGGTTTTTAATTATTTTCTTTAATGGATTGATTATATCAAAATGGACAAGACCAAATTTTTAACACAATTTTGTATAGAGAATGCTAGTTCTTATATTATTGGTCCGTGCCTTAAATAAGATGCCAAGTCGAAACATTTAGTGTGGTGATGGAGCGAAGACATCGCCCTGTCGAAGCACTGTATTCTGCCGCCTTCTTCAGCAATTACGATGAGCTCTCCCGCCCAATACACTTCAGTAGCTATCTGTAAACACAAATATCCATAATCAGGTGAAACTTTATACGACAGTTTATTATATTTTTATTAGCTGACCCAGCGAACTTTGTACTGCCATAAAAATAGGGTTGTATGTATTTTTTAATTCCGAATCATAAAAAAATACAAAAAGGTACTGGGTCTGACCACCCTTATCACTTAGTGGTATAAAAATAGTTTACGTCCTATTATGCCACAGAGCTTCTTGAAAAAATGCGAATACAATACTTATAGTACGTAGAGTTTTTTCGACAGGTATCTAATCAATGTTTGTTAATTTAACGCAATTGAAGCAATTTTTGTTCTCATACTTATTATAAACTGATTTAATAGAAAATATTTATGATAATCGAATGCATGATCGCTTATATAGCTGTCTCTTTCCCTCGCGCTCCGTAAATGCTATACAGCGAATTCAGAACTACGATGTCAAGTCATATAAACGAAGTCTATATTCTTCCACCAATAGCGGTAAGTCGAACAATTTTACCAGCTTGCATTTCGAACTGTCATAACTCTTTGATGCAGGCGTTAAAATTAAGACCTTATCATTAATGGTGACTTTGAATGTTTAAATAATGCCTTATAGTGTATTCGCCCAGTCACGCGATCATCCCACGGAGCTCCGTGGATCGTCAAATGTACCTCTTGGATAATAGGTTGCGACCAGGATTATGATCGTGTTGTTGTATATAGGGGTTTTAATATCGTTGTACGTTGTGTATGGTTTAACGCTATTTTGCGTTTTCAGCTAGTTTTCCCATACTGCTTATACTTTGATTATCCTCAACTTCTTAGTGAAATTAGTTTTAGTATACCACGACCAAATTTCAGACCATCTAACTATAAATTATTTAATTTAAAAATTTATAAAAGCAACCTAGGTACGCAGTGTTATAAATAGGATATGTAAAGAACATACGAAAATCTGTACTGGGTCCTTGGTATGTGTTGATTTGTTCGCTGCGTCATTGATTGCATTAAGGAGGGCTTTGCTATCGAATATTGATTGTGAAACTTAAATATGGTTTAGTTTTATGTTTGTTTGTATACCTTGTTTAGTTTTTATCACTAATTTTGTCAGAAAAAAGAGTTGAGTATGCCTTTAATTGTTTTTGCACAACTTTATGTATAACGTATGTTTTTTTTTAATTATGTTGGGTGTTAAAAATGTTAGCATGCCAAATAAATACTTACAAATCCCGCTCGAACGGAATGTGTGACACCAACGGTGTTATGTATGACGTGCAATGAGCCGTCAATGCATGCCGCCAAAATCTTTAGATCACACGGCGACCGCCTTATAGTTCTCGCGGGAGCGGGCACTGATACATGCGTCTCGCTTTCCCGCATGGAAGACAATTTTGTGGTTCTATTATCATCACTGTTCGGTGTTTCGTAGCGTAACCAGTATAGGGTGACACCATTCTGAAAGTTTTTTTTTTATTAACGAAACAGCTTTTTGAAAGAGCAACCAAATTATATTAGAATCGAAGGACATTTGAAATATATTACATAATAAAGTATTTAAACATGTTTTTTTAATAAATAAACACAAAAGGTTTTTAACGTAAACCAGATATAACGAAAGCACTATTTGCCCTAAAAATTACCTTATGACATGTTCTTTGTTCTATGATATGAACAATATCCTTGTCTGATAGTTCTGCTAATAATGTTTCATTTTCCAATTGATGATAGGCAGCTAACGAGATGTGTTGTCTGTAAAATGAGTACAACACTGTCAATAGACAGTAATACTTAACTTCATAAGTCTTTTGCGGTGACACAAAGCAAGTGCTCTATGATGGATTAATTTGTGTCACTGTGGTTTGTTATGCCGTATTTGTGTTTGCACTTCACTTGGCTTTTATTCGTGTTTGCTATTGTAAACTTGACATCATCAGCTCTGCCTGTTGTCAACAACTTTTTTTTTATTTTTAATTTAACTGTTAATTCAGTCTTTGAAAATTTAAAATATCTGTTTTTTTATGTTCACATGGTGGCAAAAAAGTACCTATATGGCCCGCCTGATGATAAGCGGCCACACAGACAGAACTGAGCAAAGGCGAGAGTGAAGATGGATACTTTCTTGTGTCACCTTGTGTTGTTTCGCCTCGCGTAAATTCGTAAAACCTTGCCTCGCCTGACTTTGACGAGAGTGAAGAGCTAGCATTTATATATAATTATATTAATATTGATGTGTGACATCTTTCCTCTCGCTTTACTGCAATTTGTGGGAATGATTTCGTGAAATGGGACGGAAGTGTGTAACAGGAAGTCGCGAAAGCGCGCGCTATTTGATTTGGTTTTAGAACATAATGTTCAAATGGCTTATTCCTTTTGTAGTAGGTTTTATTTCTTTTTTACTAATATAAGATGAGGTTTCAAATGTTACACATCATACGCGATTACTGTAAGGCTCGCACGTTTTTTTATTTATTATTATTTTAATAAGCGGTAAATCTGCTATGTCCTATTTCTTTTATATTACAGCAACTTACATTTATTTGAAGTAACACGGCTATTCATTTTTATTTATTCGGTTGCATGGGAAACCAACAGCTCGGTGCCATACATTTTCATACACTGACTAATCGCATCAGCCGAGCGCGTCAGTCACACGCGATCGAACGCGCCGCGTTGCAAGCGGGCGCAATGCAAGGAAGTCTATCATAACAAACTCAAAATTATTAGCATATAACATAACTAATTAATAAGGAATAGACGTACCTATATGATCAAAAATAAGAGAGACATATGAATTAAATAAGAAAATCAAGAAGACTTTACATATAGTATAAAAAAAATGAAAATGATTGCAAAGAAAAATTAGCTACCCTCTCCAAAGAGCTTAATAATACAATAGAACATTTTAATTTATTTACCCAATGATATGATATAGGTGTAAATTTGCTTGGTCTTCTATAATAGGACTCCAAGGAGCTGGTTCTATATTAGATGTGCTCCATACAAGAACTTTCAGGTATCCTTTTGTGTTATTTGAAGAAAGTTTCCTGTCACTCCTACGGGCACCACCAAGTCCTATAGTCTGAAAATAAGAATAATATAATAATGAAACCACATTATTCCATTACTAGTATCCAATTTCAAATAAACTATTGACTATCAAATAAATTAAAACAAAATACAAGATTATTATTTAACCTGTCAAAACATTTAGTGTGAAATTTGAATCTGACATCATAAATGTCTTAATGATAAGTCATCATCAAAATGGCGTCACAAATTACGCCTTCGAAAAAAAAATATATTACGCTGCAGCCAAACCATTAATTATCATTGCGTAAACGCGAGTTTATTAATTGACAAATTTTCTTTCAGTCAGATACAAAAATAAAGGCAATTTTAAATACATTTTATTTTTCAGAGATGCAAAACGTTTATAATGCGTTTCAACTAAGAATAGGGCGCCGACTGGGCGCCATATTTTTACGTCAAAGCTGTCAATTCAAACCAAATAGGTAGAGTGAGCAAAAAAAATTTGCTTTTTTTAATAAAACTTATTTACTAAGATTAAGTGAGACATAACATCAGATTTTTTAATGAAATCAATTGACTAAGGTTGAGAAAGAACACAACCGATTTTTAATAGTATTTTTTTATTAAGACTGTGTGAAAAAAACATTAGTCAGAATCTAGCTCTTCAATTTCGCTGCATTACCGCCCGAGAAGTTATGAATATTCATGCAGGTCACATGCATCCTATGTGTAAACGAAAGTTTTAAATCGAGTTTCTGAACGCAACATAAAGTGACATTTGGTTGACGATTTAGGTTATCAACCATTCATAGCCAATATCTCAATAAGTGAAAAAAAAAATATCAACATTTAATTTTGTTATTGTTAGTTTAAAAATGTTTGGTTTTTATTCTAGAATCAGCTGAGTGCTAAAAAAGTGTTTCGAGATATTTTTGCAAACCATACTTTTCAAGGGACATTTGACAGATGGAGTTCATTGGCTTTCCTATTCTTATTTGAATTGCATTATACACTACATTACGTACTTTACGATTCAAAATAAACGCAAATTCTGGTAGATTCCCAGAAACATATAATAAGGTATCTAGTTATGTTAACAAACTAATGAAAGACCCCATTGTTGATAACAAAAACAACACTTGAAACCCAACCCAACCAACAAAAAACAAAGTAGGGATGTGTCGCCACTTTTATCGAAAGTTGTTCTGTAATTTATAAATAAAAACACATTTTGTACTGTTTATAATTATTTTTGATTTATAATGCAATTATTTCTATATATCAACATGGATTTTAACCAATATAGATGAAAATAAAACTAACCAACATGTTACATTATGTAGTTAGTCTATGGTAAAACATTTTCATACAAAAAACGATTTATGCTTGGTGTTTGATGGTGCAATATTTTTTCCGAGGGCGGCTCATAAGAGCCGCTTAGTGGTGAAAAAATATATCTAAAATGAATGGTAAAATACTTGAGAAATACTTTTGCATTTACATTACTATTAAAATATTGTCCCTAAAGTTATTCATTTGCAGAAGCCACTTCATATGGTGATGGTTAGATAAAATATAATATAATAATATTTATTTTCCCCACAAACATATAAATACAAAATATTTTCAGTTTTTCATTAATAATCGTGTATAAGAAGTGTTCCTGTTTTGTCGTAATTTAATTTCTGAGGTCATTTGGTAGTTAGTTAACTCTGATTGCGATTTGGTTAAACAAAAATTAACTTATTTACTGTATTATACAAAGCTACATTCTGATTGTAACAGATCTGTGAAGATATAGATAAAATAAATAACGAAAATCCACTAAAGTGGCAAACAGACAGCTGTTCGCTAACTGCATGTCATGTTTAAAATACTGAAACAAAATTCATTCAATAAAGACTTGTATGTTGTGTAAACAAAAATTTAAGGGGGTAAAATAAGATGTGAAAGTTTATTCAAGCAAACTAAAACCATAACAAAACAAGGTATTAAGCAATACCTAGAACTTGCCTTACCTGTATTTGAGGATCTCTGTCAGATATACGGCATGGAATACTGGTTGCATTCTTCCCATAAGTAATCACAGTTGCTAAGCGGTCATTATGAGTAAATATAATGTGGGAATGAGAAATTATAGCTGCAACAGAACATTTTAATAAATATAAACTGAATAATAATAGTTTCAATGGGAATAGTAGGTATATAAAGCATTTTTAAGCATCTTTAGCAATGCATAAATGAAATGTACTAACTGAATCAGTTTATCAATACAAGCATTAATTATGATTTATCCTTCCATTTACATTTTGGGCATAGCGTTATTGATCCTAGTTATCAATAACGCTATGCCCGGAACTCTGCTCTGCTCTGAAACACATCTAAATGTATATTTGCTTTTTTACATTTTGGCATGGCAGAACTCTGCTCTGCTCTGAAACACATCTAAATGTATATTTAGATGTGTTTCAGAGCAGAGCAGAGTTCTGCCATCACTTATGAATATCACTGCAGGTTAGTACTGCTGATGATATCATTAATATTTATTATTTTTGTTCTAGTTGATTGTCAGCTTTGTGCTGATAATGTTTGCAATTAAGTTAACTCACTATTTGATTTTAATAACCTACGCATTGGGTCTCCAGTAATATGCATAATGTATATGCCAATGACAGGGTTAAAGAAGGCGCAACTACAATGTATCCTTGACCTGAGTTTTTTTATTCTAATCCCATTAATAATTGTGTGTAATGTGCAGATTGGATACATCAAGTTACAACACCTTACCCAAAAAAGAAGAAGAGTGGCAATTAAAGCAGCTAGCAAATAAAATAATGAAGCTGTTTCTATTTTACATATAAAAACTCATACATACCACAGGAAACAGTCTGTCCAGATAGTTTACCAACACAAAATCTATCGAACAGAATTTGAGTCACATCCAATGTGCTTGGTTTGATAGTCAAATACGCTATAACTCCAGTTGAAAGCACAAGTGTAATGAGAGTTTCAGTTGTCCATTCACAAATGATAATACTTTTGTCACGAAGCTTAGCATCAAGCTGCCGTATCTGTCGAGGACGCGGTGCTCTCCAATGACCGCTACGTTGCTCACAGAAATTTCTTTTGCCACTATCGTATATAGATTCATCAACTCTTCTCTTAGTTTCATACCTGCATTACAAGTTAAATTTGGTATCTGAACATAAAAGTTATATTTGATAAAATAAGTTTACTAAAATAGTTCTGTGAAACGACTACTTATATCTATTGAACAACAATGTAAGTCCATACTAAAATCAACTGCAACGACTGCAATAGAGAACACTAACAACTTACTTGTAACTTTTGAAGTCCCCATTTTTCAAATGTACAGTTTCATCGTAAGTTAGAAACTTTATATTATAATTCAACATAATTAACAGTTTTTATCGATTCATCTTTTTATTAAGAACTAGATTTAAGTAAGAAATTATATAAAATCAACATTTATAATAACACAAAACATGCAAAAAACAACCCCACAAATACAGGCAGTTAGGGATGTGCCGATACTAGTAAATACGAGTAGGTACTCGATACTTTTGATTCGATATCAAGTATTTATAGCATCGAATCAATCTTACGATAAATACTCGGTATCGAAACAAAAGTACTTGGTATCAAATCGAATCAGCATCACCATTTAAAAAAGATAAAATTTCCGAACGCAGACAGTATGAGAGAGCAAAAGCTCTTTCGCTCGGTTACCGGTATTCACAGCATAGCGGTGTGCCGAACTCGTCGGACTTCATCCGAGCCCGAGCCGAAAACGAGAGAGCTGTCCGCCCGACATGTAAGTTGTCATCATTGTCAACATAACGAATTTTCAATCTGTCAAGTCGAGATTTAATTTGAATATACAAATGATTGTTTTCAAGTAATTTTATTTATTGTAATCATCGGATTATTATTCTAATGTTATCATGGCACCACCAAAATCAATAAAATTTTACCAATACAAACGAAACAATTGCAAAATGTAAACAATGTTTTAAGTCTGTGAATTCTGTGTGAATTTTGGATAAAGGCAAATTAGAGAAAAAGCAAATAAAGGGACCAATGAAAGGTAGTATCCTATACTTTTCTTTTTTGCGACTGCTCTCCTAAAATGTTAAATAATCCCTTTAAATTCCTAAAATGTTAAAAAAAGTGACGCAAAACATTTATATTCTCGTTTTTCTCACTTTTGTTTTAATTTTTGTTCTTCAACATTTATTGTTTTTACTTTAGTTTATTCAAAGTATAAAATAAATAAAAATAAGTGCTAAAAGTATCGATACCAGTAAGTATCGATACTATAGGAGTATTTATTTAAGTAGTATCGAAAAAAGATTTGAGTACTATCGAAATGAGTAGGTATCGATACCTTGATGGTATCGGAACATCCCTACAGGCAGTCACAGATTACCAAGGGTGTATTCCGTAATGTATACCAGTATTACCAGTATACTGGCAAGTGCTAATGACGCATGAATCGACGCTATACTGATGAATTGTTCCGATATATATTGGCCAGTGCAATGACGTCATAAATCGACGAAATATTAAAAATAATGCAAATAAAGAAGATTTTTTATTCACCTCATCAATTAAAAGGAATTCTTTTTGTTCGGATGCCATTATGGTTCTTTAAATAAATAAAATAAAAGCGCGAGCCCTACAATAGTCGCGTATGATGTGTAACATTTGAAACCTCACCTTATATTAGTAAAAATAGAAATAAAACCTACTACAAAAGGGATAAGCCATTTAAACATTATGCTGACGTCTGCTATCTAGATCTCACGGAGGACCAGCTTGATAAACTTGAGCGGCTTAAGAACTTCTGTATTCGATTCATATTTGGCCTGCGCAAATATGATCATGTATCTCAATTTCGTTTACAGCTCAAGTGGCTACCTATTCGCCTTCTCCGGAATACACACATCCTTACTCTTCTGTATAACATACTGTTCAATCCTTTGTCCCCACCCTATCATAAGGAATGTTTTAATTTCCTTCACACTTCGAACACATTGTCCCTTAGGTCATCAGAAAATCTCGCTCTCATTACTCCTGTTCACTCTACAACTTTTTATGGCCGTTCTTTCGCAGTACAAGCCGTTCGTCTATGGAATGCTCTTCCAGTTTCCATAAGACGTGCAAAATCACTCCACATTTTCAAAAACCTTGTTAGATCTCACTATATGTCCTTGTAACCCTTCCATTTTTGTTGATCTAAGCTGAATGAATTAGACATAGGTATGTATGTATTTGTGTATATATTTATATATATGTATGTATATATATTTATGTATATGACTATGTATGTATTCTTGTAGGTATATAATTATATGTATGTATTGTTTTATATACTTATTTTGATTATATTTGTTAGAATGATTTTATATTGTTTTGTAGTTAATTACACCGCCGTCTCTCCAGCTTCTTTCCTGTCCTCTCCACCCTAAGGTTGTCTGGAAGAGATCGCTCTTAGCGATAAGACCGCCCATTATTACACTGTATTCTTTAATTATGTACTTCATGTTTTATGTTTTCTGTGGTGTAAAAATAAAGAGTTTTGTATTGTATTGTATTGTATTGTAAACATTATGTTCTAAAATCAAATCAAATAGCGCGCGCTTTCGCGACTTCCTGTTACACACTTCCGTCCCATTTCACGAAATCACTCCTACAAATAGGCTAGTTGACTCATATCGAATTGTATTAAATAAATGTTTATTTCTTACAGTATTTGGTCTAAGGAACCTAAATATATCGATTTCACTTCATAAAAGCAGAAGATTGCTGTAGAAATTTAATTTTAAAAAATATTTTTTAGTCTATATTTTTTAAACACTAAAAACGCTGTTCGCCGCATCCGCCATGATTGTGACGTCTCTTTCAGTAAACAACTAAATGTCATTCGCGTGTTATTGTGGGTGGATTCTTTAGTCTGAATAAATTTATCTTAAAACACTTTTAACTTTAGAAAAGTTTCCGTTTACTTTTTTTTTTGACAAAACTAATTATGGATGCCGGCTTTGTGAAAGCAGAAAGCACAAATCTGCGAAGAATTGACGCATTGATGGTTGGTGAATTTTTTGCACTAAACCCCGATTTCTGCTCTGCGGAGCAGAGAAACGACAGGGCATCTATGTAAGTACAGTGCATTTAGTATTACAATGTAGTAATAAACATAAAACTGATACAACATATGAATAAGTGTAATAAAGTTGCGTAGGTTAATTTCTTTCGGCACTTTAATCCATAACATTCCTGGAGTCTTCAAGGATGTGTTTTTATATTCTCGTACAATACAATAATGTTAATTACTTTATTTTTCGTGGTATTTATTAGAAATCGTGTTCTTTTTATCATAAACTCAAGTTATTTTCTACGTGCTTACGAGTTTTTGTTTACTATAATTGACATCATAGCATAGACAATCTATAGACTAAAATGGCCGACAGCGTTTTTGTATGTCCATGAAAATTCTATTTTAAAATTAAAGATTTGTAGCTTCCTAGGTCTCAAAAAAATACAATACATTTTTTTTCGGTCTAATAGAACATTTATTCACCATTTAAAACCTTTTTCCAAAAAGGGTCAACTAGCCTATTGCAGGAAAGCGAGAGAAAAGATGTTACACATCAAAAAGAAATAAAATTCGAATGCATCTCACGCACGCTCGGTCATACGTCATATTGGTTATCCCGGTAAAAATATGGTAGCATACCAGTACATGGCGTTGGATTCGTGACGTCATTACCACTGGCCAGTATACTGATGTATATTTCGGAATACACCCTAAGTATGTCAAAGTAGGGGTGGGCGTTTTAGAATAACGATGCGCGATAACGATTCCGGGTTTGGATGCGCGCATCCGATGCGACTGGACAGTGGCAGGGCAAGACCTAAATTTGATGTGGTTAAGACAGATTTCGCGGGGCCCTGTTCTGTGGCGACCTGAAGATTTTATAAAATAATAAAAAAAATATCGCTTTTAAGCAATGCATAAACATTTTTGAGGCGAGAGGCCCCTTGTACCGCGAGGCCGTAGGCGGTGGCCCACGTCGCCCACGTCGCCCACGACTTACGCCGCCTCTACGACTGGATGCCGTTATTGGATGCCGATGCTATCTAGTATTTGTCAACGTAACTATAGCAACAGTGCCACAAACTTATGTGTCGGTGAAGATGTCGCTAATGGTGAACAAATATGTCATAAAAATGTCAAAATGCTATGGATAAATTATAGTTCCAATTTTTGCCACTGGCACAGAAAAGTTTGTAGATCTGTACTGCATTCAAAACCTACGCTCTGAGTGTATTATTTTATGTAATAATTTTGCCAGCACTCAATTTTCAGTTACCATCATATCGAAAAGTAAATAAATGGTATCAATTACATTTTATAGTCATGATTTATGGAATCGAAGAGACACACCCACACAAAACACGCATCTGTCGTGTCGTAATTCATATTGCACCGTATCATGTGATCATTCCTGACATTCACTTGGCATCGGTGCGATGCCGGCATCGATGCGCGCATCGGATGTGATTTATCTGATAACGATGCGTATCGATTTCACAAATATCTAAAAATGCTCATCTCTATGTCAAAGAGATAGTTAAGTCCGTTGATATATATTAGGTTTGTTCCAGAAGTGAAAACACTATATTATTTCTTCCACTTGCACTTCATTATAATACAAACTAAAATTAATAAATTAAAAATATTTAGCAACAACACCACGTTAAATTTTTGGACCACTATTCACGACGAAGGCTCTCGACTTAATGTCGTATTTATAAGTGCTCCACTCGCTAGTCCGTCCCCACTTCACGTAACATTATAAGGTGGTGGGGAGGTCAGGTGAGGTGGCGCGATTTACCAAACCGAGATATAAATAATAATTGTACTATTGACCGATCTGTAAAAAATGTTAATATTATAGAAATGCTAACATATATAACACCAAAAGCTCCCATGAACACCGTACGTCCCGCCAACTATACGTTCGAGCCCGGAGGCGGCACGACGCGACGGAATGATCTGCATCGCTCGCGCCCGTCAGTGTTGCCACCTTGGATTTTTTTAAGGCGCCAAGTCAAAGGTAAAATATCGCCAGATTTCAAAAATTTGGATTTAATAAAATCCACCAAAATCCGCTAACTAATTTAAATAAAAAACCAGTGAATATGTATGAGATGCTACAGAAATAACTGTATGCCGCAGTCGGTCGTTGTAAATTAGTAAAATTTTGTTATTTAAAAAAAATGGCAATATTGTTTTTACTAATTTTAAACTTTTCCGAGCGTTACCTTAGTAGTACTAGAGAATTAAATAAAACCAGGTAAATATGTATTTACATTCATTATTTATAATCAAGAAATAAATCTTAAACAAAATGTGAAATTTAAATTCAATATTGTTAAATGTTACATCTTCTTTAATCTCATCGTCGTTCACAGACGCCGACGCTTCTGTCAATGAAGCCGATGTCGAAG